CCTCTGAGAAGCACAAGACAGAAGTAGCATATTCTGTCTAGAGAAAAGGCAAATGCTAAAGGATATTGCCAAGTTATTCTGGTATTACACAAGCTAGTTTCAAAAACGCCTTTTTGAACTGTGTTAGTCTCTGTTCTGCTTTAAAAGAGAGGCATTCATTTATAGTTCATAGAAAATTTCAGCCTCTAAATCTGAAACTCCCTGAAACTTTGAATTTTAGAGCAGCCAAAGTTCTAATAGCTTTCATGTCTAAACATCAGAAACAATTCCATCTTAAAAAGAGGATAAAAACTAATGAGGTGTGCTGAATCTTTTTACAAAGCAGAAAAATAAGAACAAATCTTTACGGAGACATGGCACATAAATCCCTGCTTCTGCACAGAAACGCAAGATGGATTAATTCCACGAGCAGCACAAGGAACAGAAACAGAATAAAAGAGGTGGCTGAAAATGAAAAAAGGCTAAGGAAACTGGCAAGACAGAAACCCTTATTTTAATTCCTCGGATCCAATAATAAGTAACGTGTGACAGTTTGTCAATAAGTGTGAGAAACTTCAGTCAAAGGAAGAGGCATGTGAAGACTCTGGCCATCTCCACAAAGGAGAGTTGAGAACAAAGAATTTCCTATTTTTCATACGTTTCAAAAAGCAGGTGCCCTGCAGGTGGTAATTTCATCATCAATTAATAGTTCAGTTCTGGCAATTAACTCGGTTCAGATCCAACACCAAGACTTTAAGTTAATTTTAACACAGAGAGAGACTTCTCAAGTCTAGTGCCTGGCAGGAGACTCCTGCTGATGGCTCTCCAACCACCGCGTCATTACGGACACCGACAGCAAAAGCAACAAGAAGCTCAAGACAACACCAGGAGATACAGAGGCTCCTCTCCATGGAACTGTACACCTACCACATGGAAGAACAAACCAAAAAAATCTGCTCAAACGACCAGCACCGCAGTCTGGAAAGGCTGGAGTGCTTCTACTGCTCAATGTCACTTAATTAAAATTGTGTGCTTGGGTACAATCTTTAAATCGCTTTTCTAATTAGGAAATGCACTCTGGCCCAGGTCATTAGCTGTGCAACGTCAGCAGGGTACTAAAACAGCTTTGAGTCCAAGTGCACCAGAGATTAGTCTCGTTATTCAGCAACGGTCTCTCAATCAGAACAAAAATTCCTCCTAAAAACATGCACCTAGTCAAGGAGAGGGGTCCAGGAATCAGTCCTCAGTGCTGAGCACACCGAGTGCTGGATTAATCTAATTACACTGCTGTCGCTTTTTCCTGGCAAGCTATTTAACAAAATACACAGCGATGATAAAAGAATCAACTCTCACTTCTACCACAGAAGATAATTAACATTTGTTTGCTGGAACAAAAGACAAATTGAGGTTGGGAAAAAAAAAAAAAGAGAACATAATTTTCAGTGGGTTTTGACAGTTGGAGAGAGCAGATTAAATTATTAAAATGGATTAAATGTAATTATCCTAGCTACTTTTTCCTTGTTGATTCTGAAAATGACAAGAGATGATAAACTTTAGGACAATGTGCAGCATCGTTTTGGAGCAAACTGCTTTTTTTTCAAGTGTGTAATAAACAACCCACAGTTTCGCTTCACTAACAAGTAGCTAAAGGTGATGGAGCACCTGAAAAGCAGATCAAGACTGACAGAAGAAGTGAAACAAATGCTCTGGTGTTCCAGGTTGGCAAGAGACTAACCTGAAAAGGATTAGGCAGTGCACCGTCTTTTTAAAATAAAAAAGTTTTTTAAAAGTCCCTCCACTGGTTTGCAAATTGGAGTGCGCCAGCAAATCTCTTGGTTTAGTTGAGATCCAGATTCTTCACCATCTTTCAGTTCCCAAGTCCTGACACCAGCACTGACATCTGACAACGACTTCAAACAGCAGTTTGGACTCCAGCACTCCAGAGAATCCGGCTGCAAAAGAAACACACACATAACCTCCTCTTCTCCTGAAGCAACAGCTTTGCCAACAAAGCAGGCATGGCTGCTTGAGTCACTGGATTGCTCCTCAAAGAGATGGTTAGAGTCTCATCCTTTAAATATTTTTAACAATTTTAAGTATTTTTAGATATTTCAATTTTCTGTTCTTGATTCCCATTCTCCTCTCTCCAGTTCTGAAGAACAACTGTCAAATGTTCCTTTTTTCTCCTCTTTTTATTTTTGTTATTTTTGGTCTTCCCAAACTCTCCTTAGGGAAAAGATTTAAGGAAGTGAAATGAAATGATCCCAAGGTACTAAGCTCAAGATACAGAACTAGACTTGGCAGGTAAACTCCATGCTGGTTTAAGCTCACACAGTGTACGTAACAGGTACAGGGTTCAGCACAAGAAACTTGATTGCTTCGGTGTCTCTAACCATGACCTCGAGTACGGACCCCCAGACATGGCAAGAACGCATTCCGAATGCAGAAGCCTCAATACCACTTTTCTTTTAGCATAAAACACATCTCAAAAGATGTTTCCAGCTCTCACGCCTACTAACGCACACTGCAAATAACAAGAGATAGATGCGAGAGAGAAAAACCACATCTTCTTGTCACAAGCTTTTAGAGTCGTTAATTCTGCACGATGCTGAAGGATTGCTATTAGGATTGCACCCTGTTTATCCTAACAAATGAAAAGGCAAACCATATGAGTAGATTTCCAGGTGCCTCACAGAAAGAAGGAGAAAAAGGAAAATAAAAAGTGCTCTCCATATTCTAAGCACGGGCACAGCTCTGAATGACAAAGGCTTTTTCTTCGTCTTATTATCTTTGAACAAAAATCCCCTGAAGAGCTGTACGCCAACTCATTACTAACTTCTGTGCATGAATTATAAACAGTTTCAGGTAGCTCAGTTCAAAACATTTCTACTTGTTGTATTAAGTCTCAATGGCATTTGAGCAGAAGGGAAAAAATCAGATTTCAGGCTTCATTTCAAGATTACAATTTAATTGAGGACTTTTTTTTTGTTTGGCCAAAGATATGGTGAAAAACTAGAATATTATAAAACAAGACATATGAAAACACCAAGCTGGCTACAGATTAGAAATAGGTGAAATAAAGTCTACAGAGGCAGTGCTTATAAAAAGGGAGGTTAATGGGAAACTGGTTCCCAATGATTAACAAGTTGTCAAATGCCCACGTTATCTTTTTAAAAGACAGGGTATTTCATCCCTCAAGCAAAAAATGCAGCAAAATATTTGAGCCTTCTCAAAGGAATACAGCATGCCTTTTCCTACACCCAAAAGGTGATGGGAACTACTGTGTTTGCTCCAGGCTGCGGAACGGCCTGAGCCTGGTTCTGAAGCCCATGAAGGACAATGCACTGTGCGGCTTCGACGCGCAGGAACGGCGTGCCGGCGCTCTCCGAAGGGAGGCTGCTCCGCACAACCAGTTCTAGAGAATGATGAGGCTTTCTACAAAGATCTCACAGATGCAGCCAAGGCAGATCATAGGAGAAGAGGGACTATAAAGTCACTGTGCCTTACTTGCAGCCTAAGCACAGGTCACAAAATTTTACTATAAGACAAGTGTGAATGCTTTAAAGAAGAAGGTTAGAAAACTTGGGGTGAAATCACTTTACTTTTCAAATCAGTAGGCACAAACGGACACAGCAAAAGGAAAATGTGCAGTCACAGCCAGATAGAAGGAACATTATGCACAGCTCTCCCATATTTCTGCCAGGAACAAGAGTGAGTTGTGTTGACAAAATAAAATATAAATCATAGAATGGTTTGGGTTGGAAAAGACCTTCAAGACCATCTAGTTCCAACCCCCCTGCCATGGCCAGGGACACCTTCCACTACACCAGGTTGTTCAAAGTCTCATCCAACCTGGCCTTGAACACTTCCAGGGATGGGGCAGTCACAGCTTCTCTGGGCAACCTGGTCCAGTGCCTCACTACCCTCATGGTGAAAAATTTCTTCCCTAGATCTCATCGAAATCTGCCCTCTTTCAGTTCAAAGCCATTGCCCCTTGTCCTGTCACTACACACCCTTGTCCAAAGCCCCTCTCCAGCTTTCTTGTAGCCCCTTTAGGTACTGGAAGGCTGCTGGAAGGTCTCGCCAGAGCCTTCTCTTCTCCAGGCTGAAAAGCCCCAACTGTCTCAGCCTGTCTTCACAGCAGAGGTGCTCCAACATGATCTGCATGTGGAAGGCAGGACGATCCAGAAAGAGGAAGCACTGGTTAACTCAAGGTATAGTGCACCCACTGATATTAACATCCAAGGGGAGACCATTCAATGAAACATGTTTTCAATGAAGAACAGAAGACACACTGGACAATGACTGTGAGAAGGATGACAAACCAACAAGTAAAACATGAAGCTACAGGAAGCTGAAAGAAAGGCTGGCTGAAAGCGCTGCAGTCCAAAATACACCCAAAGGAAGGACGCAGCAAGATGAAATACAGATGCAGATTATCCAGCAGGATACAAAACAGAGAATCACACTGAACTGATAGAATTCAGCAAGTCAACAAAAACCAGAATTTCTGCCAAACAAAACTGAATTCTATGTGAGTGAGGATTCCAGCATGCCCAGTCTTTTCACCGATGCTCTTTTCATTGAAGAGACCTGCTGTGAGGAAATTGAAGAGCCTTGTGCTGAGAAATCCTTATACATAGTTCTTGGCAGAGGATAAAAACAAGCGCCTAATAACTCTTAGCACATACATTGTGTGTAGCAAAAGGAAGATGAGAAACGCTGAAAACATTCTTCAAGAACAAAAAACATCAACTGAAAACGAGTTGGGGGAGTCAGAGACCGGAAAGGGGCATCACGACACTGGTTTAACTTCACTAACTCAAAAAATAAAGCTGTATTATTGTGTTTGTCCAAGAGCAGTCACACTTACTGGTCTGTCAGTAAGCTGCCAGTCACTCCGAGCTGGCTCTACAACTGGTAACGCGCTGCTTTGGCAAAGGGGTATTAAAATATTTTGTGTTATAAGGCCGAGAACTACAGGATGTACAGTCTTGCTGAGCATTTGTAAGCTGTCTTACCTCAAACATCTCTTGCTCTGCCCTACGATGATCATCCAGGAGCTGCTCCATGTAGGTCAGGTTACGGAATTTTTCCAGATAACTACTGTATTGTTTCTGCAGTTGCTCCTCAATCTTCTCATACTCATCCATAAAAGCAGGACTGGAGAGAACAAGCACAAACTATTCAGTGAAATATTGACCTCTACATGCAGAATTCCGAAACAAGCATTTTTGGTTTTGCAGCTTCGTTTCCATGTGCTCTAAACTAATCTAGAAGACTTTTTGCTTCCAAGGTTCCACACTACTTCAAAGACTAAAAGCATAACACACAACCCCTCATTGAACTGTCCTGCAAAAATTACGTATAGCAAAGGAAAGGTTATTGTGTACCCACTACCATTCCCTTCCAAAGAAGCAGAAAGGCAGCCTTTTGGCCCCTTTAGCACGCAAATCTTAGTTAATACTCCAAAAAATTAGCTTGTACCATGGCTGGTAAATCACCTACCTTGCTGGAGACTTATTTCCTACAACTGTGCTGTGTCCTTACAAGCGTAACTAGACTTGACACCAAGAAGCGACGACGTCCCTGTACTCCAGAGCCAACTGCTGCGTCCCAGAGATCACCGCTGCCGTTTGCTGCTTCACATCTACCCAACACACCTCCTCCAAAGTGTCACTTACATGAATCAATGTCATTCCTTCCACCACTCATTTTTCTATTTCTGTTTTTTGTTTTTTTTTATTCCTTCATAAAATGCAAGTCAAAAATAGAGCATGATCTTGTAGTTGTATAAACCTACAGTTTAATGAAGGGCAAGAAATCAACCCAAACTGTGAATCTGAACATCTTGATTTTATGGCAGGCTGTATCACTGCCTGAAGGAACCGATCCTAACAAGGGACGCATAAAGAACTTCTTTTATTAGTGGCTGAGAATGCTAGAAGCCTCTGGGAACAGAGAGAATGTTTGGACCAGTTGCCATTTTCAGGAGAAGTACCTGTCCCCATCTATGTTTAATGACAAAGGAAAAGACATACTACCTGACCATTCCGTACAGCTCGAGCAGCAATTAAGCAATCCCACCAAATAACATTTTGGTCACTTTTAACAGCACTGAAATTCTGATTTCCAACATATTGTAATGGAAAAATGAACAATTACAATCCAGACTGGGCATTTCCAGAGAAGAGAACCTCTCTCTTCCACAAGCCATCATCTCTCAGCCTCATTACAGACTTCACTCCTCACTGCTCTAAGCATTAACAACACACAGTTCCATCAGTTATGCTAACGCTCATTTATGCAGCAGATAATCAGTTCATAATCTTTACCGAACACTTTGTAGAGTCTGTAGTCTCTTCTGGCTTCTTTCCAGTTCCAATTTTCGTTTTTCAATCTTGGCTTCCAAATTGGCTTCATCCAAAGCCACATTATTCAACATGTCTTTCGTCTTTTGGACTTGTTCCTAAAAGAGAAGGACGATGAGCCACAGCTTGTGCTGGAATAATTAGAATTATCTTTCAGATGCTGACAGTTCTTCTGTATAATCTCATATCTCAAGTTAACAAATAAGTTTATAACAATGAGCTAGAACATAAACTGGCCAGGCAACGAAAATTATCCTCAAGATACAGGCCACTTTTATATGGAACTTACTCTATCCAAACACCTTCATCCTTTTCTAAGCCTTGCTTTATCCATCTTTTCAAAATTTGGGAAGCATCCTGAGCATTGCAGCACGTGCTACAGGAATCAGGAGTGGGAAGTGAGAATATTCCAGTTTATTAAGATGAGCAAGTGCATGCAGTGTGCTCAGGCTCAGGACAATGTGAGCATCTTTTGAGTGAGAGAGAGAGAGAGAGAGAGGGGACTTCACACTTGCTGCTAGGTGCTGCTCAGCTACAACACGTCATTTCATTAACTGGTCCAGAACCAAAACCACTGAGGTACACGGTATTGGTACTTCCCAGGAAGCCAATCGCCCTGCTGTGCTGCTGTCAGTTTATCAGCACTCCTGCCTACGATAGCAATGCATATATTTACAGCAGTTCGAACCCAGATATACTGCGAGTGGGAGCAGAAACATAAGAAAAGATTGCCTGGAGTCTCTATTGATTTTGCATCGGCTGCTTAAATCCAGAACTCCACTCCTTGTCACTATACAATTTTTGCAGTTAAATAACTTATGGGAAGCACAAGATTTAATTAACTCCCGTACTTGCTCAGTGGCTGTGAGTGCAGCTAATGGCTCAGAAATACAAGAACCCAAGCACTGGAGCAAGGACAGTGTCACCAAGGCTGGGACAGACAAAAGGTCCTCTGAAACGAGAACTGTAATGATGCACTGGCATAGAATCACAGAATGGTTTGGGTTGGAAGGGACCTCACAGATCATCTAGTTCCAACCCCCCTACCATGGGCAGGGAAATCCTCCACTACACCAGGTTGCCCAAAGCCTCATCCAACCTGGCCTTGAACACTGTCAGGGATGGGGCATCCACAACTTCTCTGGGCAACCTGTTCCAGTACCTCACCACCCTCAATGTAAAGAATTTCTTTCTTATATCTAACCTAAATCTCCCCTCTTTCAGTTTAAATCCGTTGCCCCTTGTCCTATCACTACACACCCTTGTAAAAAGTCCCTCTCCAGCTTTCCTGTAGGCCCCCTTTAGGTACTGGAAAGCATGGCACTAACTAGCTCAGTGCCAGTTCTCACACCTTGGCCAGCTCAGCCATCCTGCTCCCAGAGCCCAACTTCAAAGCTCCACAGGTACCAGGACATTTTGAGTTACCAAGTACACCCCTGGCAGCCCTGACTCTGCAAAGTTTACACAGCTTAGACAATGTTGGTGGGATGTAGATTTCTGTGCTAATTTAGGCAGGTTTTATCCCTTCTGTAGAGCTTCTGGGGTGACTACTGAGCTCCTAACAGAGGTGGGGAACATGACTAAAACACAGAGGGTTTTTCTGTCGTTTTCTCCCATGTCAGAGGCCCGGGGAGGCCAAGTTAGTTCTTTGATGCATCAACTGGAGGAACATTTCTGCATACTGAACCAACAGAGTTATACAGTGCAACAGCCTGAAAGCAGAGCAGGTTTGAACATATTCTCCTAGCTAGTGCTGCTAACATCGTTCATGTTTTCTGCTGCAGGCTGTGATTTCTGACTGCCAGCTCACAATCATCACTGTGCAGACACCTCCTTCACTCCTCCAGGAAAAGCTATCAGTTTCCATTATCAGGCTTGTCCACTTTGAACACAACAGGTTTCCCAAAGAAACCATAAGGATCATCAGTGACCACGCTCATTGATACGACACAAGGAGTCATCACAGGCTGATCTCTGCCTTGATGAACTTCTGTTCGCACACCTGATGTTACCTAAAGACTACAGAAGCCATTAACTGAAGCTCAACATTAGCTATTAGCTAACCAGGTGCAGCACTACTTGGCCCAGCCAGCAGAAGGTGATGCATGCTTCGGCACTCTTAACCCTAGGCTGTTGATAGAAAGAGCTAAATTCTTTTTGCAGAAGTGGGATGATAATTTTGCAATTAAATAAGTATCATTTTGCTTACCAGAACACAATCGATGGCAACTTTCATCATCTTCTCAGCCTCATTTATCTCCAAAGGTCTGGCAATAGATTCTGTTCTTGCTTCCTATGAAATAAAAATACACCAATATATTTAAAAGGAATATTAGGAACTAATAGATGCAGAACTGAGGGTGGTCAAACTACAACGATATGATCATCTGCATATCAAAACAAGATAAGTGCTACTGTCTGAACTTCAAGTATTCTTGAATGCAGAGTTTTGCAAACTGCACTGGTTATTACTTGTCGAGCAAGGTATGCAATGCAGCATGGAAGATTTCATCATCTTTATAACATGACCCATGAAAGCAACAGTGTAGGTAGATGAGCACCGAGTCACAAAATTGTGGAGCAACAAGCACTATGAACCCATCTAACTCTGCCAGACAGCTGGGACAGTCAGACAGTGCCATCCATGCCCACACAAAAAATCAGATGACACAGATGTATGGGCTTCTTCAAGTCTGATAACCAAGTGGTTTAGAATCCTCATCAAAACAGTGATCCTTGTTTAGATCTCAAAGGATGAAAAAAACCTCTTCCATCCTCGGCAGTGCTGGGACAGATGGGCTTAGGGCTATTCAGCGTGCTCTTGTCTGTATGATGTCTTACAACACTGACCTGGTCAGTATATGAAAACATTGGATTACTCGTTTGCTACTGGGAGGAGAGGAGGGAGTTTTTTTGCAGTTAAATGTCCTTAAAATAATTTTATGTCAGCAAGCCATTTGGTAACAGATGGATAAAGATGGAAATAGCATCTCTCTAGAGAACATCTGAGTAAGAATCTAAAAATGTTTCATGCACATTGCAACAGGCTGTACCCAGCCCACCAAGAGATCAATTCTGGAAGCAGAGTTACTTTGTTAAGTTACCAGCCAGACGCTCCAGGCTGCACAGGCAAGTACTAGCAGAGGCAGCTTAGCTCTCTCCCCACCAACTCAAGTTCAGGGAGTTGCACGTGAACCCAACCAGGGAGCTCATCCAGCTAACTAAAACAGCTTTTTGTGCTGAGCTTATTCCTCTGCTGGATCAGCTCCCTGAACAAGCCTGCCGCACGCTGCACCAAGGCTTTTTTTATGGCACAAGAAAAGAAGCAGAAGAAATATTATGTTGGGGACAGTGACAGAAGCTACATCTGTTAGTGGCGGTGTGAAAGTGCTTGTGAACGTTCCCCTGTCCACACGGAGACACAGGCTCCAAGCAGCAGAAAGTTAATTTGGACGAAAATAAGATACAGAGTCTGCACAATACATATCCCTGAATATCTCCACAGGTAGACACTTGTGGAGGAAGAGTGGACAAGAGTAACACAGCTCAGCAGCTATTCTGAGAACATCATGCATTCAACAAGCTCAACCAAATGCCCATTTGTTTGTGAGGACTTTGCCTGAACTGAAACGGCAGCC